ACCTTTCTTGTATTAGAAAACTCTTTTCTTTTAAAACATTTCTTTTTGAAAAATTCTTTACCAAATCCTCAGTTTGAGTTCAGACACACCCAAGAGTATGTCCAAATCCCTCAAACTAAGGCTCTGATACCAACTTGTAATGTCCCAAAAATAAGACCTAAAATTTTCATTTTTCAATTAATAAAACATTATCCTAAAACATATACATATAGTAATAATTAAACTTTTAATTTTACATATAATATAATGTGTATTTTAAAACTTTTCAAAATACTAGGTTTATAATTAAAATTTAGAAAATTAAATAATTAATTTAAATTTAAAAATAAACCAAATGATTTAATAATTATCTATTAACTAACATTTAATTAAATATATTAAATCAAATAAAGATTATCCATTTAAATTAATCAATTAATTTAATCCTAATCCTTACCCTCTAATTTTCGAAAATTAGGGTATATGATTTATCCAAAAAAAATTTCAATTATCCTTTTTAAACAAGATTAATTGATACCACTGATGAGTTTAAGCAGAACAAAACATACTTAAAAACTCTTAAGTGTGCATGCAACCTAAAACAATATCTATGTTTTACTATTGAACCTATAACTATGAATATCAAAATAAGAACCCTAGAAACCCTAGGTAATTTTCAAAAATTACTAAACAGAAATCTTCTTGTTGATCTTTTGGAAGCAAGCACCACAAATGTCGTGCCTCTAGTGGTTCACACCCAAGCTAGCAAGAAGGAAGATTATGGAGAGAGGAGAGGGGAGAGGGGATGACAAAATTTTGGCTATTTCTCTTAGAGAATGAGTGACCAAAATATGAAGGGCTATGGTCCTTTATATAGTGGTACAAGGAAGCCCTGAATAACCCTAATCTGAATATAATAATAATATTTCAAATTGGTAATTATCCAACTTCATATTTATCCACATCGGATAATCTAGAAACTCTAGATTATCCCCTTTGAAATCGTCCACCCTCCTGGTGGAAGGTTCTTGAGTCTTTTGTTCAACTATTGAACAATTACACTTTAGACCCTGTACTTTTAATTTAAGTCCATTAATCCCGAAGTTAATTCCAATTAATTTCTGATTAATTATTAATTAAATATTACTATTTCTAATTAATATATTATTCTCTTAATATATTAATAAATTATTTATTTTAATTTATTAATCAAATAATAAATCAACCACTCTCTCCAAAAATCATACTGTCCAATTGCTAGGTTTGACGGCAACCCAAAAGGACTGTGTTACTATCAATTCAAGTTTATACCAGTTATAGTTATAGGCTCAGACACCTAATCCAACAACTACAACATATTTGACTATTATGTGATTGTAAATGGGCGAATTGCATACAATAGTAACATACTATATTGTGGTTATCAATTTATGCAATGTACTATACTTTCACACAAAAACGACATCTTCCAACCCCCGCAACGTGGGGGATAGTTTTCTAGTTGATTTTTTTTGAAAGGAATTTCCACTTATTTGATGGTGTTATATATGGTAAATTAAGTAAACTAACCTATATAAATGAGATTTTCAAAAAAATAGCCATTTTTTTTAGTTTTTGAAAAATAATCATTTTCTTCGGAATGTCTCATTCCACAAAATTGTTCATATTCTAGAGTTCTTACTCCCGAATCCTCCATTCCGGATTTGATCTTCAAATTTCAGAGATTTTCAACTTTTTTTTCTAGTTTTTCCACAAAAAGAATTTCCACTTATTTGATAGTGTTATAGATGGTAAATTAAGTAAACTAACCCATATAAATGAGATTTTCAAAAAAAAAAAATAATAATAACCATTTTTTGTTCAGTTTTTGAAAAATAATTATTTTCTTCGGAATGCCTCATTCCACAAAATTGCTCATATTCTAGAGTTCTTACTCCGAATTCTCCATTCCGGATTTCATCTTCAAATTTCAGAGATTTTTAACTTTTTTTTTTAGTTTTTCCATTTTGTTTGAAAGAAATATATCTACTTATGTTAAAATGTTCATTTCGAAGTGTTTTAATGTCATCGTTTTTCAATAAAATGTTTGATTTTCTGCACTAATATCGTATATAATTCTTATTTACTTTGTTTGTTTATTTTTTGTTAGATTTAAGTAGAAAACAATTTTTTTCTCAAAGTTCCGAAATTGTTCATCAGATTTCGAACTTGTTCTTGAAATTTCGTAGTTTTTTTTTCTAATATCCGAAATTTCAGTCTGGAATCCAGAATGTACTTTTTTGTCAGAAAAAATGTTTTTTTTGGTCCGGAGTGCCCATTCCGGACTAAATAGTTATTTTTTCTAAAACAAATATTTTTGGTTATTTTTTTTCAAATACATATTAAATTGTGGTTATATTACTTAATTTCCCACTATTTATCTAGCTTTTTTAATTGGCCAAGTTTTAATAAACTATAAATTTTGCTAAATAAAAAAAACATACTATAAAGTGGAATCAAGGGTATGTTTTATAACAACCCAACAAAATTACTATTTAACTTGTATTTCCTATGAATAATCCAAAAAATATGATTGCGAAATGATCTTGTAAAAAAAGGTGTTTTTCTTCAGATTGTGTAATCCAAATGATACATTTGTTTGAATATTCCAAATCGCCCAACTCGTAGTAATTAAGCACCATCACGTCAAAACATACAAATCTTATCGTATAAGCCCATTTGAAGCAGTGTCGCACATTAAATCATTGATCTCCTACCATCTGGCAACTTGGAATGATCAAATTGAGGAAGCTAACATAACATGAATTAAAGAGGTAATTATCACTTGTCTCACCACAGTATCACAAACTGTGTACAAGTAGAGTCAGCGTTAACTCCTCTTTTATCAAAGATAGCTCTAGCAGGATTTTAGATTCCGTAGTGGATATAACTATAAATGTTTTTTAGGACTTCTATGATATAGCTCCACCATCAATTTATATCATTGTATCCTTCCATGACCTCGTAATATCTTGTATACTTTAATCCATAAGTGTGAGTATACCTTAAGGATAGTAACACTCTTGTAATACTCTTCCAATATTCATCACATGGATTACTCGTATATTTATGTAGCCTGTTTATTGCAAAAGCTAAGTGGTGCAACTCCCGAGTTGCAACAGAGTACTACCAAATTGGGATAAAATCATTTTTTGAAATTTGGTTAAACCAATTTTTCCAATAGTTTTAGCCTTTTAGGATGCATGTTTATGGTTCTAACATGTTAATGTTAAGAGTCAAGAGTTAGTAGCCCAAAAGATTGATTTGGAGGTTTTGGTGAAGTATCTTTAAGGAATAAGCAAGAACAAGAACTAGAGTTTCCATACCTAGCATATGCAGAACATTGTAGAGGGTAGTGGATCATTATGGGAGACTTTCTAACATTGTAAAGGCCTATAGGGTAGTGGATCATTATGGGAGATTTTCTAACACGTATTATGTGACAGCTTCCAGAAGCTGAATAGTTGGTTGTCAATTTTTTTGGAAAGGGAACTTCTCTAACGAGGGTTTCAAACTAGCTTTTGTGCACCGATTAATCCCCCGTTGGAAACATGATGTTTTGACTCATGCCCTGGAGTCACTGCAGACGAACCTCCATTGCCACAAGGGTTGAGTAGTGCCAAAATTTGAACATGTATCAATAAATTATCCATCATATATTCCATATGTTTTACCAAGTCACAACCACCCAAATGGTTTACTTGGTTGTCAATTTGTGATATAGATGATGAATTTAGTTTGGAAATCTCCATATTCTAATAAATGAATAGGTTTATTATCCTATTGACAAGTGTCATACTATTAGAACTCCTCATTAATAACTATATGTAACTTATCATGTCACATGTCAACCTATTAATTATTAATTTGAAATTTCAAATTTTAAATTTGAAATTTCACATTTTCCACTCTAATTACATTAAATTAATAATTGATTTTCCATTTTAATTTTTTTTCATTCTAATTATACTAAATTAATAACATTAGGTTAAAAAATAAAATAAAATTAATACTGATTATAAGGTGATTTAACTTCATATATTTATTTAAATCAACAATTATAATTTTATATAACTAAAAAAATATCTCTTAAGTAATTATTTATTTAAAATAATCGATTAATAATGTTTATTTTTTAAAATGAAAGTATAATTAATTTTAAAACCGTGGTTCTCACGGGTTATAAACTAGTAATGTTATATAATGAAGTTACGATATTAGGTGGAATTAGGGTGTTACACGTGTAATTTGAAGAAATTTTTTGACTTTTTTGTCAAAAATAATTAATGCCCTTTGAACGAGATAAAGAGAAAGTATAGAAAGTATTGCATCATTTTGTGCAATGTTTTAAAAACCGGGTTGAACCGGCCGGTCGAACCGGTTGGACCGGGAATCGGGGAAATGAGCGGTTCAACTATCACCGGTTTTATGTCTATTTCTGAACCGGATTGAACCGGCCGGTTTTTACAATAATCTGGTTGAACCGGTTCAATTAAACCAGTTGAACCGGTTAAATTGAATAAAAACATATAGAATCGAAACCTTTTGCATAATAAACTTTGGTAGTTTTTCATATTTAATAAAAAATTTCTGAATAAAAGCATATGATAAATATTATAAAGTTTTTTGATGCATTTATATTTATCTAGTACTTTATTTGCTTTTTAATGCACATAGATTGATGTAAAACTTATAGTTATGAGTTATTTTAATGTACTTAAAATGATCTACAACTTGTTTTCGTGTGTACTTTAATGTTTGAACTTGTGGACATCATATTCTTGATTTGTGTATATAGATATGTGTACGAAAATACGAAAAAAAAATGAAAATTATAAAAACCGGTTTACTTAGCGGTTGAACCGGAAACCGGTCATCAATCCGGTTCAACTAAAAAACCGGTTTTTAAAACATTGATTTTGTGGGTTGTGACTTATGGTAATGGTCGATGAGGGATCAAAAATAAAATATGTTAGAGAAAAGCACCGCAATATATAGAAAAGAAACAATGAAGGGAAATCGTTTACATTTGAGAGATTTAATTTGCATTCCATTTCATCCCATCGATTTTCTCATTTGCAAATAAGTGGTCTTTAGCCCGGAGAATTTTTCTTCCATTTCATCCCCACTTTCCTAACAAATACAATTAATCTTTTCATAATCATATATATTCCATAATATATAAAAATTGATATAAATCAATCATAATAAATTCAAATAAAGAAGCCATGCATGCATGCATGCATGAATGATTTACCTCTTTCTTCATATTTTGTTGTTCCGTCTCTCTCAATGGCCGGATTCTCTGAAAACGTAAATGACAATTAATAATAAGTAATCAATCAATCAATGAATCAAAAAATTTCATTAAATGTACAGTTTTAATTAATAACGATATATCTGAGTTATTTAATAATTACCTTGCATAATAATCTGAATCGAAACAGCATGTCGGCTTCCGTTTGGAGTGCCTTCTGAGTCTCGACTTTCTTATCAATCTCCTTCGTCATCTTCTCCAACATTAACCCTCTCTCTTCAAGCATCTTCTCTGTCTTCTCTAGGTCTGACCTCAACCTCTCCTCCTTCCCCCACAACAACATTATTGGACAATTGTAATATATAATAAGAAATTAAGAATAATTCCGATTCAAGATAATCTTTAAAAATATCTTTTTTTGATAAATGTCACTGCCAAATCGGTAGGGTGGAAGTAGCCTGCGGATGATTTCGTCGGGGGAGATGGTCGTCGGTTGTCGGAGATGGATATCTATTAAAGTTATATCCGGAATGTTTGAGTGGGTGGATTTTGGTCAATTTAACATGCGCATTTAAGTTGCGTGAAATTGGGAATTCTTTATTCTTGGTCTATATAAAGTCATATTTTCTAATTAATCATATATATATATTTGGGTAAAATAATGCTAAAGAGTTAGATTTCTTACAAATCTCGACGTTTTATCACATCAGCAAAACAAATAGTTCTTTTATAAAATAATACATCGGACCATTTCTTGATGTGTGTCTTCCGTGCGCATTATGCTCAGCCTAAGAAGACGGACCTGTAGGATAAAGTTCTCACTCAATCATTTTTGTGGGTGAGTAATAGAACTAGAAGAAGAAAACTTAATTGGATTTGGTGTCTTTTCAATCCTATGTTAGCTATTTGATGTGTTTCTTTTAACTGTTTTTTTGGTGTTGGGTTTTGTTCATTTTTCTAATAAAACTTGGTGTTGGAAAAAAAATTACATCGGATCACCTGTTTTTTTGGTGTTGGGTTTTGTTCGTTTAACGGAATATTTTGATTGTCGGTCTAAACACCACAAAATCGGCAAAAAAAAGTTGCATTTTCTGGCTTACGGAAATATTTATTGGGCCCCTTATATTTTTGGTCTCTTATATTAGGTATGAGCCCGTTGAGGTAGTGTTATAACATCTAATAACATGAAGTGTGGGTGGTGTTCATGGTGTTATACCACCGTTAAGAGAAGAGAGATAACTTGTACAGTCAATCAATGCTCTCGTTTCATTCGGTCATCAAGACACCAAGAAGCAACACAACAAGAAGGGGGGGGGGGGGGGGGGTGTTCATCTCGTTATGATGCCCTTGAGGCCCCTCCATGTCAGCAATAACGCCGTTTCTATCGTATGCTCTTAATGGGCGACTCTGTCGCACCCACTTTTGATCCGGTCATGTATGACATATATAGTATAACATCCGTGTTCCTCTATCTTTGTTAATTTAATGAATACTAGTTTATAATCCTTCGACACCACGGATGATAAAGTTCAAAATAATTTTAATTAAATTTATAACTTAACTTTTTGAGCAATGATTATAAAAAAAAAGTTAATAATTAAAAAGTACATATGTTTTGTCAGTAATTTCGTAATGATATAATAATTGGTTGAAATTACGAAAGCATAGTGGTTTGAATATCCGATCGGTAATTTGTATTTGTAGATATGTTAGAAAATTATCATTTTGTAGAATGCAATATAAATTTAAATAAAACCAAAAACTGAAATTGATATTGATATAAATAATAAAATTGTACAAAGTTTTATAAATTTTTAAAATTGAGTGTTTATCCTTTTTTAGATAAAATGACAATTTTGTCCTTTTTTGTAAATTATGTCATTCTTATCATTTTATTATATTTTTTAATTTGACATACTTAAACCGAAAAAAAAAGTGATATGAAACATTTAAAATATACATCTTGATTTTTTTAGTCAAGATGACTATTTATGTCTTTTTGTCCGGTGTGGTCAATTTATTATCGGTTCTTTATTTTTTTTCATTGTTCAGAATTTATACCACTTAAACAAAAATAGAAGGTATAATTTTATCCGTTCAAATTTTTGTTTTGAACATTTTAGTTAATTTCATCAATTTTTACTAATTTATTGTAGGCCATTTTTTGTCATTTTGAACATTTTTGTCAATTTGACATTTTATCGTCAAATGGTCAGAGTAAATAGGAGCATACGTAAGGGCAACTTGTTGATAAGCTGAGCAGGCTTTGAATCATTGAAAACATTTGATGATGGCGGACGTAATGGTCACGACTGCAATGGTGGTAACAAAGACAGTGAGTTATGTTGATTGAGAGAAGAATGCAACTTCTGGAGTGAGACATGTGTGTATCTCATTCTTCTTCCTGAATCAATGAAACCCAAGGAAAAGTCGTGGTTCTATACACCTAAATCAATAGTCGTTTATCTTTTTCTTCCTAAATCATTGTCCATATTGGTTATAAAAAAGCAAATTTATTTCTATTATAAGTACATTGCCTTTATAAGTAAAAAAATAAATATATTTATATTATCAGACTATGGGTTAAAATTTATAAAGATTGCTTGGTAATTAAAGTAAAATATGTTGCTATTATGAGTAAAGAAATGTAAGTACGTTGCTATTATAGGTAAAACAATAAAGTACATTGCTATTATTAGTAAAAAATATATGTACGTTGCAATTATATGTAAAAAAATAAGGTATATCAACTTTGTGGACAAATATGATCGCTTTGTCCATATCGGTAGTTAAAGCAAAGTGCATTGCTATTCTTTGCAGTTTACCCTAGATTTAAAATAATCAGTAATCAAATACTAATAATTTGTTCAAGAAAAAAAGATTTCAATACCTTATCAGTTCTAATAATAATCTAAATAAGTATTCTATAAGCCTTCCTGCCTTATTTTTTCATCACAGTCGATTCAACCTACTGTGCTTGAGCCTGATCAATGATTTTTGTCAAGTTCATACAACAACAAAATAACAATTAAATTATGGGGTTTAATGGTTTATAATTTCGGTTTCGTTACCATACAATTTTGTTCCTTAGATAAAGTTTATATAAATTCACTAATCGGTTCTTTAGCAATAATAAGAAAAGACTTTTAGATTATTCATGATATTGCAAAATTCCTTATACTTTCATATTAAGACATGTTTTAGAAATGATCTGTAACATCCCGATTTCCCGATATCAGTGTAAAGCTTCAAGAGTCAAGTTTTAAAGGCGACTCGACGAGTGGATAGGCCAACTTTGTCGAGTAGAGACCAAATCATCTGCGTGGGTTTTAGACCCTACTCGACGAGGCGGAGGACCCAAATCGACGAGTAGGTGTTGGAAAGTGAAAACCCTAATTTTTAGGGTTTGCACCCTATTTAAAGGTCCTTAACTTTCCTCCTCAGCCTCCCTTGTCACCTTCACGTCCAGAGAAAACCCTAATAGCTAGCTAGCCTCTATTCTTAAGTGTGTGAGACCAAAAGAGAGTGTATTGGAGCATTTCTTGAGGAGTTAAGAGCTTGGAACAATGAAGAGCTTGTAGATCCAGCCTTCCCAGTGTTGTGACAGCAAGATTGAGGTATAAAGCTACCACCTTTACATTTCATTGCATATATCTCCCTTTTTGGTAAAAGAAATGGTCATTTCTAGGTATTGATGGGGTCACATTCGGGTTTGAGCTTGTCATAAGGGCATAGTTTCAGATCTTGACTTCCCAAGGCCCTAAGGACATAAAGCCTCAAGCTTTATGAAGCTTTAGCCCTCCTTCATGTCTCAAAAACCTTCTCCTAATGCTATTTATGAGTGTTTTAGCTTCATAGAACCTTGCATGCACGTAAAGTTAGCAACTTTACTTGATAGCAGCACCCTAGGAGCATAGATCTACTGTTTGGAGCTTTGGAGCAGCGTAAAATCGTCTGAATGAGTGATGGACTGAATGGGACTCGACGAGTTGCATGGTCGGCTTGACGAGTCGGATGAAGATTTCCTGAGAATGGTTCATGCATGGACTCAGGGAGTCTGTAAGACGACTCGACGAGTCAGAAGGGGTTTCCCCGACTTTTGGACACGCTTGAACTCAACGAGTTGCCTGTAAACTCGGCGAGTAGACTAGGGTTTTATGACTCTGTGAGTTCTGGAGGAACTCGACGAGCCAATATATTGTACTCGACGGGTCAGGTCAACATGAACTGTTGACCTTGACCGTTGACTTTGACTTTGACCAAGGGTTGACCAGTTTGACTTCTGAGGGCATTTTGGTAATTTGGGTAGTTATGGAAATGGATCATTGGTGGTTACAGGTGTTGGAGTTTGGGGCAGTATTTCGGGAGCTCGATTTCGTGGTTCAGTTCGGCATTGCAATGTGAGTTATCCTCACTATACTCAAGGGTCTAAGGCACCAAGGTCGGCCCTTTGATTTGTTATTTGGAATTGTTAGCATTGTGATATGTTAGCTCGGCATCCTGGTAGATAGGATGGTATTATATGCTAGTATGATCTGTTAGATCGGTATCCTGGTAGATAGGATATGGTTATGCTTAGAGACTTGTAGTTGGTTTGACTGTTTGTATATTGTTAGATGATTACCTTTTATATATGCACATGCTTGTTATCGTAGTTGAGGGTATTCCATCCCGAGGATGAGTGGACCCTAGTTTGTTGTCTTTATAGACCATTATACGATTGTCCGATATAGGTGCACATGTTTGATTGGTTGTGGGCATTCCAACCCGATGGTTGAGGGGCGAGAGTATTCCATCTCGATGGATGATTGGACTCATAGTAGGTGGGCATTCCAACCCGATGGTTGTGGGCCTAGAGTATTCCATCCCGATGGATGATTGGACTCGTAGTATGTGGGCATTCCAACCTGATGGTTGTGGGCCGAGAGTATTCCATCCCGATGGATGATTGGATTCGTAGTATGTGGGCATTCCAACCTGATAGTTGTGGACCTGGGGTATTCCATCCCGAGGATGATTGGACCCATAGTATATTGGCATTCCAACCCGATGGTTGAGGGCCTAGGGTATTCCAACCCGATGGTTGATTGGACCCATAGTATGCTGTTGGATATTATATGTGTATTGTTGTATAATGGGGGTAACTCACTAAGCCTTCGAGCTTACATTTATCGATTATTGTTTTAGGTACAACGGATGATCGCGGGAAGGCGAAGGCGTGACAGTACGCTTCCTCACATTTTATGATTTGGATTTCTGGGAACTCTGATGTTTAAACTATTTTGAAAACAAATTGTAATATCTGAATGGTTTTCAGTGTTTTAAAAAGTTCAAATTTGGCATGATTTTTATGGGTGTTTCAAGTTGGTATCAGAGCCTTGGTTTGAGTGAATTGGAGGAACACTCGTGTGAATCCAGTCTCGAACTAAGGAAAATATTTTCAAAATAATTTTAATGGTTTTCAAAATAAGAAGAAGGATGATACAAGTGTACGATCAGCCGGAGCCAGTAACTAGACCCCAAAATACCA